TCCGCTCTGCAGCGCTCCGGCTCCTCCGGCCTCGCCGCCGCAGCGCCAGGCAGCGGGATGCGCTCGGGCTTCAGCAGCACCCTGCGGACACAGGACAGAGACAGCGTTGAAAGCGAGAAACAGAATTTAGCTCCTCAAGATTCAACACGGTATTTTGCCTTAGAAAGCTCTCTGCTGCAATGGGTGGCTGTCGAGAAGTGCTTTCCCAGTGCACTTGAGATATTCCTTGTGTGTTCTGTCTCCCTTGGAGGGCTACCCAGGAGAGCCTGCCCCAGATATCCCGTCGCTGCAGTTGTAGGGCGGCCTGGGCTAGGGATGAGCCACGCTCCGGCTCACACAGGGCACAGAGAGCTCAGGGCCAGTGCGCGCAGAGGGTGAGGGCAGCACTTGCTCCACTGCAGCACCATGACTTTCCCCACAGTTAGCTCTGGTGATCTTAACCAGGCCTTACCATTGCCCAAATTGCCCTTTTTTCATTTCCAGACTGCATGTTGTTTCTTTAACACGTTGAGTGGGGTCCCCCAGACTGTCGTAGCCCTCCACGCAAAGCGAGCGGGCCACCTCCAAGGAGAGCCACCATTCCTGAATCCACCAGTCCGTCCCAGCTGAGGACCCCCGCATCCCTCCTGGCCCTGCCCCTCTGAGCCCCCATGGAGCCGACCCGGTGCCGATGCAGCCCTGACCCGTGTGGATGTGGGTGTCTCTGCGCTGCATTTCTGAGTACAAGGCATGGAGCAGGGCATGGATCCGCCTCATTCCCCCAAGGCATGGACATGTCTCCTGCCCACGGCATGGATGGATCGCTTGCTGCAGGCCAGGCCCACTGCAGCCGCCCAGGGGGTACCTGAGCTTTTCTTGCAGGGCCACCTGACCCAAGGTGGTGAAGGCCAGGGCGAATGGACGGACACACATTACAGCAGCCCGGCCCAGGAAAGACAAACAAGATCCTCTCCAGTGCAGCATGTGCCCAAAGTCATTAAGGGTATTAGCGTGGTGTGGGCAAGACATCTTGCTCCAGGCTCCTATTATCTACTTAAGGAAGAGCTGTCAGCAACAGCTAGGATTTTGGTTAAAGGCATTAGGATAATGACTTAGGGGGTCATGGACATGGGGAGAAGATGTAGTCTTGATATCCACAAAAAGGAGAGACATGTGGGCCATGTACACAGGCACAATATTCCAAACCCCAACCACTGAGCTCTCCCTGTGCTCCCCGGCATGGCCTGGCCACCCCTCTCCCATCCCATCCTCTGCTCCGAGACACAGGGACTGCTTCTTCCTGCCACAAACTTTCTCATCCCATAGGAAAATACCTGCTTTGCATACAAGCGCAGGAGATCCTACCAGCCCTAGACAGGGCCTGAAGGGCATTTGACAAAAAGGCGGCAGCAGAGTGCAGGGCTGGCTTGCATGCCCCTTCTCAGGGAGGAAATCCTCCTCCCTGCAGACGGATGGTCTGGAAATAGTGAAATGGCCACCAAAAGGGCACGGGAGCCAGTCTGTGGGTAAGCTGGGCTCGGGTCTCCATGGGAAATCCAGTTTTGGAGGCGTTGTGGCCACAGTGCGATGCCCCCACTGCATCTGCAGCCTGAGTCTCCTTTGACTGTGAGCTAAAACACACCCTGTTTTACAGGGAAGAAAAAAACCCTCTTACCTTAATCCCTCCCCAAGGAAGCTGCCCGTGAAGCCCTTCTGCAGAAGGGTGTGGATGCAGAATGCAGCAGATTCCTGCCAGCCTGCCCAGCACGAGCCCCACAGCCCTGAGCTTTGCTGTGTGCCCATATCATGCTGTGCTCAGCAGGACATCAGGACGGCACAAAGCGGCTGGGCATCATGGACAGCCCAAAACCTCAGGGCATGACTCCCCACCATGTAATCGCTAGGTCCAGCCCAGGCCTGGAGGCTGCTCATTAACACGGGGTGTGAAAATGAACCACTCAGAGGGTGAAAGAAAAGTCCCACAAGTTACCCCTTCTGTTAAGATTTCATGGGTGGTGCTCCCATTGTGGTGATTCAGGATTGTGGCATATGGAAATCTGGTGATACAGTATTTCCCATCTACTTGTTTTCTGTCTGCTCCAGAAAATAACCTGCAAAAAGAGAAGCCAAGATTAAATGCAAAGGCATTTTGAGGTATTTAAGGTAGGAAACAAACACAAACATCCTGTTTCTCCTGTTGGGAGGCCGCTTTTGAAAGGCTCTTCCCTCCCTCCCTAAGAAAGTTGGAGGAATTCCGGAGATGAGGACATGTCTTTTCCTCGATGAGAAACACGGCATTTCTAGCTATTCTTTGGGTCCTTTCTATACCATTTTAAGACACAGAGGTGAACAGAAACCTGTTCAAATGAGAACACTGCATGACACCCACTTACCACCTTTACTCCTTCCTGAGCACCGTTACTTAACCTCACGTGAAGGGCCTAAGGATGAGTTTAACGCCACGACAGGTCTCGTTTCCCGTCCCAGCCCAGCTGGGGTTGCACGGGCCAAGGACAGGTTCCCGTGGACATCTCAGGAACACGGGAAATGAGGCTGAGGTGCCCGGGGGGCCGTCTCCTCCTCAGACAGAAGCGACCACTGTGAATCACTGCTGGAAAGTGCTCGTCTAACTTGTCTTCCCCCAAAGGAGGTATCTGGCCCCTTGTACCAACTATCTTGATGATAAGAGCAGCACCAGTGGAACGCCATGGTAATATCAAGGGTATTGTTTGCTTTCACAACAGCAGAAGAATATATCCAAAACAGATATTAAAAACACAGTAATATTATAGTCTTCTTTCCTTCCTTGGAATCACAGAGTCTTTGAAGGATCAGGGGAGCAGAGTCATTTTCCATCTTGCTCTGCCAAGGAGGTGAGAGAAGTAAGCCAGATGAGCTACGTTCAAATAGGGTTGGACCGACAATCCAAACCAGCCAGAAAGGTCAGTTATAAGCAAAGTGCTAACAACAAAAGGGGCCGTTGACCCATTTCCTTGACGCCTGCTTAGGCTGTTGTCATGGCTATGCTGGAGAGCCAAACGTGTGTTATTTTCTTTCAGCGCATTCCTGTGATAGCAGCTTTATCGCTGGCGGAGGACAGCGCATGCAAACACGCTCTCCCAGAGCCGCCAAACCCCACGGACGCAGGCGCTGGTGCCACCTCCAAGGAAGGAAAGTGAAGGAAGCGGCTGCCCCGCAGCCAGGCCCGGGTGGAGTTATCCAGAGGCCCTGCAGATATTTGTTATCTTTTTCCTCAGGCTTTAAGCGATAATCACTTTATAGCCATGATCACTTTTTACTCTCTAGGCTGTAAATCCACACCAGCGTAGAGGAGGCCCTTAATTCCCTACCACATTGTCAGCCAGCGCTTACTTTTAAAATATTTAACTTCTGCAGGCTCCCCAGCAACGCGGGTGTTGCCGCGGTCCCAAGGAGGCTTTTAATTCTTCAGCAGGCACTGGAAACCCAACTCCTCACAGACGGTCACATTTTTTTCAGGTAATCTAGAACGCGCTCAGGTATTGAAAACGCTTTTGTCGGATATTTGACCTTGAAATTTGACCTTGAAAATCACCCGGCAGTGTAGGAGCCTACGCTGTGCTGAGGGCACCTAACGTGTAACACAAACTTCTCTCCTGGAGGGCGGTGACGGGGTGTAGATCCCTATCAGCTTTCTGCATGCCCGGACCTGAGATTAGGAGGCCGTTCTGCTCAAACCGTCGCACTTTTTCTTCCTTGGTGACACACTTCCATCCCAGTGAGTCACTTAAGTAACCAGTTTAAAAATGAGAACCTGCCTTTCAGAAGAGCCCGTCCTGGGGTGAGTTCACATTTTAGCAGATCATGAGGCAAGCCTGGTTTGTCCCCTGCATCACAACAGCGAGACGTGGGAGCAGCAAGCGAGGTTCCTTCGAGTCACAAAATCTTTTCTTGCTTCACTTAGACATAATATTTGCATCCAGCTTCCTGTTCGCAGGCTTCTCTGCTCATTTATGGAAAGCAGCGCGACTCTACATAAAAATGTTTCAAAAGTAGGTGGTGCTCTCTCACCGTGCTGCCGCCCATTTCGCATTACTGCCGGATTCATAAATGTGAGCAAAACAGCCTGAAGTGCACGGAATTTATTAGTGAGTCAGCTGAGATCTTAACAAGAGCCGAGTTCTCAAACGTCTGATGGTTACAGAGTGCACGTTGCCTCATGTGATCCTCAAGAACACTAATCATTATGTAAAAGCACAGAGAAAATCACATAAAGTCTTGCTGGGCTCCATAAACCGTACGGACGGGACGTTTTCCTGAAGGGCAGGGAGGATTCTCACAAGGAAAGTCCAGTTCAGGGGAGGAAGCATCATTCCCACGAGGATCCCATTTCCCCTCACAACGTACAGCCACACGCCCTGACTTCAGCTTTGGGTTTCCTACGTGGAGTAACACAGCACATCGCTCCTGTCACGTTTTTACACTTGGCCTGTGCCGAGTTCAGCCCTGGAAACCCTCAGCATGTGGCAGGGTGACAGCTAAAGGAACGCAGCCGCGCTCCAGCCCGGGAACAGGTCCAGGCTGCACAGGGACGGGCCCTTCGGTGGCTCCCATCCAAAAGCTGCTACAGCCTC